GCCCTGCCGCAGAGCGCACGACCACAAAAAATGTCGACAACAGAAAAGGATGATACCACGCCCGAACCAAAGGAACCCACCACCACCCTTGTGATAACGTCCACCCAAACTGTAAGGCCCACGACCGCCCCCAGACCTGTGACCACACCACAGGCTACGACGACCGAACACGTCCCGACCACGGGACTGACCACTGACAGATCCACACAAGGCCCCCCCAAGACGACCACGGAAATGACCACCACTAAAGCCCCCACTACTACCGCTAGTGTTCCAGGAGTAAGTGATCACACGAAGAACTGTCCCCTCCTATAAACGTGTCCTCATGAATCCATCCTCCTGAGTCCAGTCCGATTTTCACCACCAACAAGTTCAAGTCCAACTTTTGTTGTTCCCATTTATATTACCACTCCACCACCACCACCTCCACCCCTTCCAGCAAAGCACTTAAACTTTTCTCATCAAGTTTCTTCTCTTCCAACAGTTAAAGCCTGTTATGTTAAAGTCGGCCACACCAGCTTAATTTCTTGGTTCAAGGATTTGCCCGCTTCATTTTTTTTCTCATTGCAAAAAAAAAACTAGAACATGAACATGACCAAAACTCTATTGACTCAACAAAAGTACATCATAAGGTCTAAAACTGCATGTACACAAACAAAAATGTAGGCATACAGACAATACATGGGTACAACGAATGTACTATTCAGGTTCTGATTCAAACCCAAAATGCTGATATTTGGCACCTACAAGTCCTTTTCTTCCTACTTGTTACAGTTCTTCCAGTCACCAATGCAGTCATTTGATTAAGACTTCAAATACATTGTTTGAATTATGAAATCCGAGAACCAACTAATCAAATTGGTGTGGCCTCCAGTCAACCACAATTCTTTCTTAGCTAAGTTTTGCATGGACCTGGCATACATGTACATATACATGTAGGAAAGCCTGTACAGTTTCTGTACCATTTTGTTCAATCATTGTAACAGAAGTACTTGAAAAAAATCTCCCGACACAGAAACTTTGCAAACTTTCTAATGCCGCTCTAGAAATCACAATAACGTCATTCTCTCTTTTTCCATAGAGTTTATACATTCATACTTAATGTAATTGTTTTTTCCATAGTTAGTCCATACTTAATTATGATTGTTTTTCCTATAGAGTTAATGTTCATACATAACGTATTGTTTTTTTCCATAGTCTATCTATGTTCATACATGTACATAATGTGCTAAATAAAAGCCTTGCTATCAGTATTAGTTTTTGACCCTGTGTGACCCAATGACCTTGAATAAACTGCTAATGACCTTCCCCACCAGACTACCACAGTCACTCCCGCACCCCCGGTAGTCATGACAACGGAAGTGCCGACGCCCACCACAGAGGAGTTAGTAGTTACTACGGTTGCCCCTGTGAGTATGGTACCCCCACCTGCCCAACCAGTCTGGGCAAAATAAAGTTTAACCTACATGTAGTCTCAGTGGTAGAATTACTAGAAATACTTTTTTTCTTAAGTGATTTGCAATATTGAAGAATGTCAAAATTTTGTTCTGCAATTTTGAAATACTTTCTGCAGGTACAATTGTACACACTTTTAAAAGTCTGGATCTAAACCCGTGGAATATACAAAATTGCATGTTGGCAAACGATGTAATTTTGTATGCAATTTGAAAAATGCATGCAAAATTAGTTGTATATTATAGAGTCAGTAGTGAACACCTAAACTCTTAAACACCATTGAACCCCTATCGGCCTATCCTGATTTGTTCAATCTGCAAAATTGCAGGTTGCTTCATTTTTCTCCTGCAATACTAAAAATGTCTCTGCAAAATGCAGACTGCAGATGGGTATTTCTAACACTGAGACTCCACCTCTGCATGTTGTCAGTGTCCCGTTTTAACACCCATGTCCAGTCCAACCACTCCTTCTGAAGAAGTGGATGTCCCTTACATTAATAGTATAAGAAAATTAATTTTCTTCCTTCCTCATTGACTAAAGACCTTAGCCTGTCATTCAGAGTTCATGATTCTATTCTCTTCTTTGCACATCTTCACTGAATTTTCTTTCTTCTTCCCAGCTCTCTTTCTCATCTTTTACAGCCCTCCTTGTATCTTACCGACTCTGTCCCTTTCTTCTACCAACTTCAGAACTTTACTCTCTTGAGTCTTGCCATGTGCAAGACCTGTTACTGTTCATACATATAACATCCATGTCCATAATATCACCAGGGTCCATAATATCGCCACCTTGAGAAATAGTGTGCTTTAAGATATTTTTACTGCAACATACTTTTGATATGCACTCCTGCACACCTCAAATGTACATACCTAGGGTGTGTTACAGTAAAAATATCTTTAAGCACACTTTTTCTTAAGGTGGCGATATTATGGACTATGGTGATATTATGGACACAGATGTTACTAGTATTGCAACCCAACACTTTGTTTTATGTCATGTATGTTGTTATATATGTATGTATGTGTATTGTTTGTTGATCGTTCTCTCCTTTCACCAGTGTTTCTTTGCAGACCTTGCAGTTTGTACCCTATGTCATTGTTTAATGTTTGTCAGAGTTCACTTCAGTCTCTTCTTTCTTTCAGAGGTGTTAGTAGTTCAAGATAATGCATGACTACAGTAGAGTTAATCTGTACGATATACATATATTAGATATTAAGACCAGTAGTTCAGTAGCAATAAGACTGGCACATGTAAAAACTATGCCATCTGAACAAATACAATCATGCAAAATCACTTGTATATTATAGAGTCAGTTACTGTAGTACACACAAAAGCTCTTAAACACCATTGAACCCCTAGCCTGATTTTTTCAGTCTGCAAAATTGCAGGTTGCTTCTTTTTTCTTCTGCAACATTGAAAATGTCTCTGCAAAATGCAGACTGCAGATGGGTATTTCTAACACTGCATACTAGGTATTAACTGTTTGTGGTTGGTTGTCTTCCAGACCCCAGAACGCGGCCCTCCCACGAGATGCGCGGCTCCCCCCAAACCGAGCTCGCTGGAGCTGCCCGGAGCGTTCAACTTCGGGCTGACCAAAAACAGCCACATGACCTTCAAGATAGAACCCACGGAGGTCAAGAAAGAGTGAGTTCATTTTGTAAATCATTTGTATATTAATATGATATTTACAATTTCATTTGGGGGAGGCCCGCGAAAAACCGGCATATTTGTCCATTTTTTACTAGTTGATTATGTATTTTGTAAATTGTTGTGTATACATGTATGTGCAAATAAACACATTAAGCAAACAAAACAATACCCTTAAATCCACAGGTTTTCAGTGCTCTTGTAATTATAAACTGCTGAAATGCGGGGTCGCTGGCGTAATGGCAGAGTGCTCGACTCAAAACCAAGAGGTCCTGGGTTTGAGTCCTGACATGCCACCGATCTTGTCCTTTTACACGATTTTCCCTACTGAACTCAAGTGAAAATGAGTATTGTCTGTCCTGTATTTGTTTCTATGTGTGGGACACAACACCAGCAACAGCTGCATGTGCCACATGTCACTCACACACTCACTGTCCAGGGTTAGATTATACTGCTGCTGCTGTCCCTGCCACAGGGGTCGGCAGCAGTTGGCTAGTAGTACTGGTCTTCACTCCGCTCCTCCAGGCAGCCCTATCCAGTGGGTTAACACTGGCAAGGCCGCGCTCTCTGATGTCAATAAATTTTGACAATGTACATGTTTCAATAAACCAAATCAATCCTTCCGCAGGTTTTCGGTGAAGGTAGAGATCCGCACCCTGGCGTCGGACGGGGCTGGTGTTCTACGTTGCCCGTAGCAATCAGGCGGACTTCGCTGCCATCCAGCTGGAGGAGGGACTGGTCAAGTTCAAGTTCGACAACGGGAAGGGCCCGGTGGAGATCAGCAGCACTGTCACCGTGAACGACGGAAAGTGGCACATGGTAGATTTTATTTATTTATTTATTTCTTCCTCAAACATACATTGACAGGGAAATACACACATATACATGTCTATATACCCTGAATTACGTAGGTTTGTTACAAAACATTGTGCTTACCATTTGTGCTGAATATCACATGGGCATAACAAAAATGCATAACATAGTATACGTAACAAACACTAAACAAAGATCCGAGCTCACAGGCTGATGGTTGGGCTAGGAATAAAGTTATTATAGAGTCAGTCTAACTGCAGTGTGCAGGAATGACTGTTTCAGTCGTTCAGTTCAGGCCTTGGAAGGGCTTACTTTACGAACCTGTCCAAGGCGGCCACCAAGAAAAGTGGTCACCTTGGACAGGTGGTCTGCTCAAAGAGGGTCGCCTCACGACATGACTGACACATAAATGGTTTCCAAGTCGAGACGTTTTAATGTCAAATGCTATAAGCATCTTCAGTTCTGTGGTGAATGCATGTGGGAAGGGGGGCACATGAAACAATTTACGTCAAACAAAAACATGGACAACTGACACGGTTCTTCTCCAGGTGGTTTTAGGTCTGCTTTCTTTTCCATCCGGTCTCCAATTTAAGGCTGTTTTTGGTATCCTTACGTCATTTGAAGGAAAAGGATCCCACTTTTTCTGCAATGTTTGGGGTTTCGTGTGTTCAGAGCTTTCGTTTTATCTGTAAATGCAAGGAAGTAGGAGTAGAATTCTGATGTTTCATTTTAGTTTAAACACACATGGTTTGAAACAGGGATATGTTAAGTACAAATGTGAATGAGATGAGCAAAATTTGAATTTCACTAAGCTAAATGTATGTCATATCGTGTAAATATCCTCCAATGTGCAATTCTACTACGGACTCCGAGATTGTGTAGTTGTTAACACTTAGAATGAATGTACATCTTTGAACGCAATTCAGCTTTCTACTGCAATGTTTGTGATTTTTAGCAATAAATCATTTTTGATTGATTGATTGATTGATTGATTGATTGATTGATTGATTGATTGATTGATTGATTGATTGATTGGTTGATTGATTGATTGATTGATTGATTGATTGATTGAACATGCAGCCCCAGATGTCTTACTGAGGGTGGTGCAAAAGATGTTGGTTAGCTGAAGAATGATTCCACTCCACTTATAGTTATACACATCTTGTGTTTGTACCTCCAGCTCCATATCACCCGGAACCGCAGGAACGGAATCCTGACTGTTGACGGGCGCGACAGACAGAAGGACAAGAGTCCGGAGGGGGCCACCATCCTGGACGTCACCGAGGACTTCTACCTGGGAGGGGTTCCCATCAGCTACACCGCAAGGAGGATCGGAAAGGTTGGTGTTCTGGTTAAAGAGTCTCAACGGGTTATGAAAGACAGCCATCTTAACACCTGTGTTTTTCTGCAGTTGACACCTTTCCATGCATGTCCCACCAATATGTCACCCCAACATCTCTCAGTCCACACAAAATTGTTCTAATCAAATGCCAAAAAGCAGTTTAACAAGCTACTGGATATGATTTTGGAAATGGTCAAGAATTATCCAGTTACTTTTAGGCGTAAAAAAATTTTTACCCGGATGTCTAACCTTCACCTACGTGTCCTAATTAAAGTCAAGACCTGATCAGTCTTAGAAATCTGTGCATGTCTTTTGTGTCACCATTCATTCAACAGCACCCAATGTCATGCCTTGAAGAGAACAGCAAAACTCAGCACGTTTTGTGGAATGTTTAGTTACATTTTAACTTCTGAGCTCAAATTTGGCCAGTGATGTCTGTTGTGACTACCTGAAGATCATAATGAACAATCTTTTTGAACCACTGAGGCCAAAAGTCTGTCTCTAATTGTCACTATGTACGCACTAACGTTCACCATAGTAAAGATGCATTCAGACTCTGGAATGGTTGTGCCTGTAGTCTGCATGCTAGAAAAGCATGGGACAAGTTAATGTGTTACATACATCACTGAATGCATTCATCATAATGTTTCTGTTTGTCAAAAAAAGTTGTAAAATAATGAATAAAAACTTGCAGGTAGTTACAATCATGCAAATAGTCAAAACAACGTTGCTCTGAATGCTCAAGCTCTAAAAAGCTACATATTGTACCTTATTGTATCCAGAACCTTGTTCAGACACAGTTCTAGGTAGTCCACGCATGTCCAGAACTGTTTCTCCCCGATCCTAACCCTAACACTTTCAGGCATAGATCTAGATGTAGAAAGGAACAGTGCTGGAGCTTTGCTATCCTAACCTTTCATCCATCTTTGTGCTTCCCACAGTGGACAAACCATGCCCCAGACACAGTGGACTAACAACCCGCTGCCCTTGCAGCCTCAAAAAGGCTGTGTCACTTCTTCACCTTAAATGTTTTCCGCCTGTGTGTTTCCCCACAGATTACGAACAGTTTGGAGATGTGTGTGCGGATGTTGGAGACCAGGGAGAGTTACAGGACCTGGTCCTGATCCATCCAGAAATAGAACAAATCTATATTCTTGGATACGCTTAGACTATCTTAAGGGCTACGGGCTTAAGGGCTACGGGACTACCTCTAACTTTGTATTTTTTCTGCCCACTGATTACTAACAGTTTGGAGATGTGTGTGCGGATGTTGGAGATCCAGGGAGAGCTACAGGACTTGGCCTGGGGCAAATCTACATTCTTGGATACGCTTAGACTATCTCAAGGGCTATGGGACTACCTCTAACTTGGTGTATTTTGTTGTATTTTTGTGCCCACAGATTACGAACAGTTTGGAGATGTGTGTGCGGATGTTGGAGACCAGGGAGAGTTACAGGACCTGGTCCTGATCCATCCAGAAATAGAACAAATCTATATTCTTGGATACGCTTAGACTATCTCAAGAGCTATGGGACTACCTCTAACTTTGTATTTTTTTCTGCCCACAGATTACGAACAGTTTGGAGATGTGTGTGCGGATGTTGGAGACCAGGGAGAGTTACAGGACCTGGTCCTGATCCATCCAGAAATAGAACAAATCTATATTCTTGGATACGCTTAGACTATCTCAAGAGCTATGGGACTACCTCTAACTTTGTATTTTTTTGTGCCCACAGATTACTAACAGTTTGGAGATGTGTGTGCGGATGTTGGAGATCCAGGGAGAGCTACAGGACCTGGTCACGCCGGCCTCCAGGGCTGACGTCGGCGCCTGCTTCGAGAAGGTCACTGCAGGGTCATACTTCACCGGCACGGGATACGCAGAATTGTGTAAGGCTCTAGTTTATTTCTCTATTTCATTGATGTCTATTAGGCGACACCGACTTAATTTTATGGATGACATCCTCTGAAGACCCCCAAACTGGTGCACACGGGCAAAAAAAAGAAATTCCGGCCAAAAATAAAACTGCTACTAAACCACAGGAATACAAAGCTGGTATTGTGAATTTGCGGCAGTACTTAGTGACGTATACAATAAGCCGGCACATGCTGGCTTTTTGTGGAAGTCATAAATCGGCACTGTACGTATGTACTGAGTTCTTGAGTCGTGGAGCCCCGGTAGCCTGGGTGCCATCCTCCAGAGTTACCACCTGCTCCATATTGTCGCTCACTACCATGGACTACCCAGGCTTAGAGCCAGGCCAGAGCCTCGGTGATCTGTAGTTTCCAAATGTCCGGTCTTACACAGTTTGTCCTTACATTGCACAAAACTGGTTACGCCTAAAGGCAATTTTCCGGTTGTGCAAAACAAACAAAGAAACAAAATGTGTTCTCTGTTCCCCCCAGCTGACTCGTACCGTGTGGGGCAGGACATGGAGGTTGTGTTCGAGTTCAGGACCAACCAGCGAGAAGCCGTCCTCCTCACCGTGTCATCCGCAAGGGCCGACGCTCTCGCCATTGAACTCAAGGATGGCAAGGTACCTTTGACTTTTATATATTACTTTATGTGGATTCACAATTAGCTTTATAATATTACACCGATATTGGTACATGAAGTTACATACAAATTTCGAGGCAGGATGACTACTTCTTTAGAAGGACATTCAAAAAAAGACTACCAGGTCCTAAAGATCTTTATGCAGCTAGTTCTTACGACACTCCACCTCAGCTTTGAGCCAACTGAAACAAAAGAAAAGGAAGTGAATTTTCTTTAGCCACAAAGTTTGTATGTAAAAAGGTAGTGGTGTAAGGCACTGTTGTTTTCGATGCTTACAAGAACAGCTTGCCCTGTTGTGTGTACTTCACTGTTGTGATAGTGCTTTATACACATGAGTCCAGCACGTGCAACATGTGAAGCATTGCAAATGTCCCTGACAACCTTACTTACATACATGTACATCACTGTCCAGCATTCTGTTGCAATTGCTTTTATTGCTCTGCTTCAGTGTATAACATATTCATCGAAGACATTTCAAACATGTCAGACAGCTAGCCAAGCAATAGCCTGGGTACCAGAGTTCAATACGTCTGCTATGATAGTCACAACCCTCTAGCAGTGGTGACTATTGGAGCAGATGTAAGCTAACATGT